TGAGAGAAGTACATCATGAGGTTAAAAATGAGATGCGGTTTGTAGTGAATGATTCTAGGTTGCAGTTTGGCTTGGGTGAATTTGTACTTGTTACTGGGTTGAAATGTAAGGGTGATACAAGTATAAAGAGCATAGCAGAGAATAGGTTGATTTCAAAATATTTTGGGACTGCATCCGTGACATTTGCCCAACTAGCAGACTGTTTTAAGAAGAAGAAATGGGAAACGGATGATGATGCGTTGAAGATAGTAGTTCTGTATTTTGTCAACAACTTCTTATTTTCTAAACTCAAAACAAAGGCTATTTCACGGTCTTACATTGACTTGGTTGAGTCTGGTAATTTTAATAATTATCCCTGGGGTATAGATGTTTATAAAGCTACAATTGACTCGTGTTCCAACAAGTTTCAAGATAAGCCTTCTTTTTATAGACTTGGTGGCTTCCCGTTGGCTTTACAGACTTGGTTGTATGAATGTTGCCCAAGTTTGGATGGTCACTTTGCTGATCATCTTGGAAACAACAAACTTCCACGAATTTTGAAATGGGTAGTCATGGGTCAAATCCCGAATGAGCGAGTTGCTTTGCAAATGTGTAGCTTGCAACGCAAGCAGGTAATTTTCTCATAGTTTTATTGCCTCTCTTAATGTTTTGGTACACTAGTTTAGTCATAGTTGTAGCAATATCCCAATTTAGTGATATACTCTGTTGGTATACATGTATACTATATTGGTATTATGTATACTATATCCCAGTTCAGTGATATACTTTGTTGGTATACATGTATACTATATTGGTATCATATGGTAATATGGATCTTTTTTCTTTCATACTTTATTATCATTTCTATTTCTAACTAGTGTGCTTAATAATTGCAGCTAAAGAACATCACCCCTGATGATGAGAAGAAACAATTTGATGTGCGTGGTCTAAGCTTTGAAATTGAAGTTGAGTGCACTGACAGCCAACCCAGCCAGCCCGATAGCTTTCAAGTTTTTGGCACTCAATTACCAAAGACACAAAGTATGCCTGAAAGTAGTGAAGGTGATTCCCAACCTACCAATGCTGAGGTAATGAAGGAGTTACAAGCTTTGAAGCTTTTTATAGAGAACAAGTTTGAGGAGGTGCTTGCAGCTATTAGTAGGCAGTCAGTGAAACCAGAGGGAAATTCAGCGGTATTCATCTTTTATATAATATAATGCTATAGTATATTGTTCAAAGATGCAATATATGCTTATAGGATACTATTCCATTCTTTACTTTTAGTGCACATAGTATTCTTGTAATATACATAAGACTAAAATTGTTAGTTTCTCATTTTCAGCACAAGCAACAGGATGATGATTTGCGTTCTGGTAAAATGTTGTATATGTAATTTTTGATTATTTTTTTATTTATTTAACTCTATGTATTTGTGCATTGACTAACCTTTTTTTAAAAAACTTTTTTCAGCCCCCTTCGTAAATGAGCATGATTTTGGCTTGGATTCTAACTTTGAACTATCTGCATCTGCAATTGATCAAATCACCGCTATTACACAACAAGCAACATATAAGCAGTCATCTCATGATGTTAAAAAGTCGGGTCCTGCTCCGCTGCCATCAGGAATCCCTGTACAGACACGAGCAGATGTTGTTATTGAGTCTAATACTGCTCCACAGGGTACGATGTTGATGTTACTAATTCTGTAGTTAGTATGTAAATGATAGGTTCTTGATAGTTTTTTATTTTTTATTTAAGTAGTGATGCTGATAATGCTTTTATGTGTTTAGCATGTCGGGTTGATGGTGTTGGTCAAGTGGATGTTGGTGGAAGTAATGTGAATTTGCCTTCTGGTAATGTCTTCTATATATAACTTTTCATTCTTTTTTTCTAAATTTCTTAACTTTGTATATTTATTTATTCACTAGCATTTTCTAATTTAAGCTCCATGTCGACACGGGGGTGATCTTCACTTGGATTCTGATTTTGAATATACTGATTCTCAACTTGATCTAATTGCTGCCATTACACAAGGAGGGAGACGTAATGTAAATCAATCTGGAAATGATCTGACAACTCGTGCTGTAAATAAGTCTAAACCTGATCAGTCGGTATCAAGAAATATTGTTCAGATACAAACAGATGTTGAAACTACTCCTGCAGTTTTAACACGGAAAAGGCGCCCCGCAGCTGTAAAACAGTCACCGTATAGGAATGACTGGCAATCTGGTGTTAGTGCAGTTGGGGGATCCTCGAAGGTTATCAAAGGAAGATTTCCATTTGTAAATGACATTTCAGAGACGGTTGATTTTAAGCTTACGACTGCATTCTCAAACTTTGTTGAAGCAAATATGCAATTGGGAGAGTGCGTATTCGTTTCCATGTACTTTTGTTTTCATTTTTTCTTAATGTTTGTTGTTATATTTCTTATCCATATCTTCTTTTATACGAAATAGGGAAGTGTATTTACCTGATGATCAAAAGCTAGAGCCTTGTTTTGACTTTGAAGTTGAACAGATTGATGATAAGACGTTTTTCCATAACTTAAACTATTCTGGCAGGCCGCTCTCTAGTTCGGTATGTGTACTGTTTTTTATTTTTGTTGTTGTAGTAGTTCATTGATATTGTTAGTGGCAGTCATATTTTCTTCCTCTATTTTTTGCAGCACTTGAATATTATATTCTACTATCTTAGGAAGAAGGAGAAATATAGAATTAATATGCCAATCAAAGTCACAACTACAAATACTCTTTTTAATAATATCATTCAAAGGGTTTTCACAGAATTTGTAAAAGGTGGGAAACAAGATCATTTGATTGATAGATCAGACGATATCATGGAGTACATGAAAGGATTTAGGATGCATTGCAACACTCCATGGCACCAGGTTGATCATGTCATTTTTCCAATTAATTTGGCAGAAATTTGGCATTGGATATTGGGGTGTGTGTCATTCCACAAGAGATGTTTTTACGTATATGACTCGCTACGTAGTCGAAAGCACAAAAAAGCTATTCAAAAAGTGGCAGAGGCTTATGCTGTGTTGATCCCCCTATTTCTAGTTAGTATTGAATTTTATAACCAAAGAAGTGACATTGTAGTAGAAAATGGTCTGCACATGGGAAAGAAGTTGACTGATCCTTTTGATATTGAACTAATTACAAATCTGCCAACACAGCAAAATTCGTAAGAATAACTACTTTTTTTTTACTTTGTTTTCCTCATTCATATTAACATTTTCACTTCTAATTGATTTTTATATTCTATTCATTTGTTTTATTTCAGAGATTGTGGAGTATATGTTGATTGCTTTGCAGAGTATATTATTGAATATCTTCCAATCCCTGTTGCCAATTTTGATGTGGATGGTCTTCGAGCTAGGTTTGGTATACTGTTGTGGCACTATGGGAGGAACAAGCAGTTGCATGGCGAATCAAGTGAATCTGAGGCTCCAGTAGCACCTAAAAAGACTCGTGGAAAGAAACGCAAGAAGTAGTATAGGTCTCTTTTTGGTTTTAGTTAATTGTATCATGAAAACTTTGCAGGATTTTAATAGTTTTTGGTGAAGTATGGTATTATTAGTAGTAAATGACTTTCTGCTGATTCAAGACTGTAGGAAACTTGTGCCTTTATAAAATATTTCCAGCTGCTAATGTTTCTTTTGTCATATTTAATTATTCTGGTTCAAAATATGTGGTAATAGATTTCTTCAAGTACATGGGGGTTATCAATATAGTTATGTCTCTTGATGCTGAAAATTTGCTGATTTTGTTTCTGATTTCAGCTTGTTTTATTAGGCTTTTCTTAGGCTTCTTCCATAAAGTTGTTGGTTTATTAGGATGCCGAGGTCCATTCCTTTGCCATAGGGTAAAGTTTAATGGATTCAGCAAGTGAAAATTAGGGGTAGATGAAGTGAACACTTCCAGCAACATACAAAGTAGTTGTGACATAAGTTAATTATCTGCTTTCGAATGTGATGATGGTCTAAGCTTTAATGTTCATCTGTAGTTTTAGCATAAATGCTGTATTAGTATAGTAGAACTATATACCAATCAGTTATAATGATATACCATTTGGGTATCACGTTATATTTGACTCATCTTTTTTCCTGCAGCAACTAGATGTAAGTACTGACATGAGTTGCAAAGTGT